GTCACACCTAAACCCCGAGTCATACAAAGCTGACAATGCTGTGTAATTTTACACTCCTAACTGTGCATAACATTATTTTACTTGCAGCAGCTAAACACATTTCACAAACAACACTCACCAGCGGTATTCTTGTCTGTAGCATCTGTAGATCGTCATAGCCGTACACCTGAGGCTGAAAAGAAAAGAAAATCAAGTTAGTGTGGAGTAAGTAACACAGTAAATAAAAATCTAGTAAGCACATGTGAAGCTCAGGCCATAGAAACTTTGACGGTACTTACAGGGTAGGCATGCAGTAGTCCAGGGGCCATAATGTATGGGTTGGGCAGTAGAGGGGGCACTCCGGGTGGAAGGTTTGGAGGTGCTTTCCCTGTATGCACAAATTAAAATAAACCAATAAAATGCATTTATTTGCAAAACAGAAATATAAGCCTCATAATCATCCACAATGAAAATACACTTGTGCCTGTATTTGCTAGACAATTTTACCCATGCGCTAAGCAACCAAATTATACTAATTATTCACCAACTTGCATTACATAAGTATTACAAATACATTGCCTTTAGCAGAAATAATAAATGCAGTAAAACACGTGACAAACTGTTTAGCAGCAAAGATTACACTCTACATGTGTGAAAGAAAAAGCCTCAGGGGACCAACCAAAGAGTCAGAATCATGAAAAGCACACCTGTGATGATGAGGAAATGGAAACCAGATCGAATCCCAGACAAAACAAAACACCCATGACTCACTCACTCTAATCAAAGACGATCTCTGACAAACTCCCCAAGAAATCCTTTACCACAGTTGCTCTACTGTAAGTCAACATAAATGTATGCATCCATCTGCCACCTGACCACAAAATATGCCCTGAAGGTTACATCATCTGTGTAACTGTAACCACTAAACTCTTAAGGACTTCATTTGGTTCTATAATCTAGTCAAAATGAAGGATTAAACAACGGCTTAACACCCCAGACAAGCTCTACTTAATGCTTTCCTTTCCTTTATTTTTTTCCTTCTACTTTGTGTGTGCTCTCTGAAGCCAGACCACATGACCCGATCAATGACAATATTGTAACAGAAGCTCTACAATGGATTCGCATACAGTAAACGACTGACTGTCCATTTTACCACCAAGTTATTGTGAAGGCCTCACATCAAGTTACCAAGCTTACAATTATATCACTGGTATTGACTGCACAGTTTAAAGTCAGCTATGCAGACAAAGTGAAAAGCAAACACAATTTAAACTGCATCTACATTTCCATTTTGATAAATTTGTGCTTGTGTTGTCTAACCTGAGGATGCTGCAGAGCTGCGTGTTGATGACGAAGATGCTGAAGACGGAATGGTCGAGGCCGCTGTGGAGACTGAAGCAGTGGCGGCGGCAGCTGCTGCTACTGGGGCACCCATAGAGGCAGTGTTGAGGCCCATGGCCAGACTGCTGACGGGGCCTAGGCCCGAGGGAGCTGAAACTGTGGCAGAGCCCACTGAGGAGGCCTGAGGAGCCCCTAAGGACACCTGTGCAGCAGCCACAGAGGAAGAGGAGCAGGGGACTGATGAAGACGGCACGGCTGAGACAGAGGAAGGGAAGGATGAAGAATGCAGGCTCGAGTCTCCATCGACGCTGGGATGCTGTAGGGGCGGAAGACAATAAATGCGGCGAAGATTGATGAGATTACATTTCCATTAGAGTGAATGAACATATAATGTGTCCATCTACCACCACAGGAAATGCAGCTTTGAAAAATGCTCACACTGAGTGAGGGAGGGAGGGAGACCCAACCTCCTGCATAAGCTACTCACACTCATTTGTGACTAGTTAAAAAAATAAAAAATAAAATAAGTACAATTGATTCTGATGTAAAAATTGACACGAGCATACAAAGTGCTCACCAGTAAGCCTGAGTTCGATGTCCGAACAGATGGAGTCAGACTGTTCTGTTGTGATGGGTGAGAGCTGTAAAAGAACACAGGATATTTAGGGATTATTACACTTATCAGCAAATCACATCACATTCACTGACACTTAGGTTAACACCAATCATAATTTAGACTTAAGAGATTAGCTGCATCTCACTTGTTGTGCTGAGGAGGGGCCATGCTGCTTGGAGGCAAGTCTTCATTGTGACCCAGAGCACTAAGGGGCGTCTGATTGGCTGTAGTCAACAAGGAGGCTGAGCTGCTGTCTGTTAAAGTGCCCATGCTGGAGACCGATGCTGGCGTGACCGAGTCAGAGGCCGGCTTGACTGATACTGCAGAGCCTGCTGCAGCTGTGCAGAGAGCAAAAGAGAAACGGATGGAATAAAACCAACAGAACTCAATTAATAATGCTCAGGAAACGTGTATGTGGGCTAAATGTGCCAGAAAATATGATCTGACTAATAAGCAGACGCTTACCTTCCACGGATTGCGCTGCCTGTATTGAACTGAAGCCATTCTGTAAAACCAACAATGAACGTGAGCTCACAGGTTTCTATGGAGACAGGCCATTGATAAAAAGCTGAAGCTTATTTGATACGCAGATATCAAATACAGGCCATGTTTAAAAACCAGTAGCACTTTACAACGAGAACAATGGAAAACAAAAGAATTTAGAAGTATAAGAGTAGAGTTTATTTTAAGAGGCTTCTGCATAACAGAGCAGGTGGTAGTTGAGCATGTTGTCCCCAGTGACTCCTCCTTTAATACTTCACTAAAAATGGGGTATTTAACATTTTAGTAGATCAAGTGAAAGAGGAAAGTGTTGGCTTTACCTTGGGCTGCAAATCCTTCTGAGGGGAGGAGGAGACTGAAGGAGGGTAACGTCGTGTTTGAGATGGTCTCTGATCGTACAGGTCCATCTGGCTGGAGTTGGAGAGAACTGGAGTTGACTCACTGCAGATTGCAATGAAATGGATAAGCTCAAAGTTAATTGTGTTCCATTAATGGTTCTGACTTGAAAACTGATGATAATTACAATTTAATGACTTTTATAGACTGGGACACACACCAAAAATTCATCTAACCTTTAAAGAAGTGCTGAGTAAAACAGAGTGTGGGGAAAAAATAAAATAAAAATCAAAAGCCAAGTCCAGTTATAACTGGTAAAATAATTCAGTATTCCTGGCAATCAGCGTAAACACACATTTGTAAATGGAAAAGTATGCAAACACTGTTGAATAAGCGGTACAAAATGTCAGACTTTATGAGAGAGACAGGCTCAACTAAAACCCTGAATAGAAATTTGTGTGTCAAAGATGGCAGCTAGCCTGCCTACCCACAACTGCCAAACTGAGTTGTTGCACTGATGAATCCCCACAGGTGAGGTTCACAACATGTTTTGTGCATACATTGTTGTTATCTTAGCACTGTATAAATATTGTTTTGATGTGGCTTCTGCTCTGGTGGGATGAGCCAGAGATTGATTGAGCATGCACTTTGGACTGCTCCATTAATTAAGTTTCATGACTGTGCACATGCAGACAGTAAGTATAACTTGTGGGGACAAAATAATTGTCAAGATTTTGGGGGGCAAAGTCCCCAAACTTAAGTTAAAAAAAAAATAATTCTGATTTAACTGGTGATTTAATAAATTATACACATCCTAGTTCTATTTAAAGTTATAGCTCTCTTGCCATTTAGACAGCAGCAGCAGCAAAATAAGAACAACAACAAATCCGACAAATAATAAGCAGCGTGATATTGCATAGGCACGCTTAATAAGTGCCCAGAAGCATTAGCAAAATGACTGTCAATGAACAGGAGGACTACAAAGTCAAGAAAAACTTTACTCCAGTGAACCGTTCTTGAATCAAAAGCAAAAATCTGTCATTCCACAGCGTTCTGTGTCAACATAAACTTTCTAACATGAACTATCCTTATGTTGGCTGGTTGCACAGCAGATGGCACAACACTGAGTACAACTAGCAGGTCTGAGAGGAAGGTTTTTAAGAGTACTGTCCTCCATTCAAAATATTCACATCCTGTTTGTTTACATACTGGAAGAGCTTTGCTTTGGGAAGTACCAACCTGCTGGGGCTTGTGTAGAGACTGTTCTGGACCTGGTTGCCTGGTGTCGTGGTGGCAGAGGAGGACTCGTACTCTGGTAGAACTGGTTCAGACCCAAACTGCAGCGCTCCAAACTGAAGATTCAGGCCTGAGATGTCTGTTGAGCCAGGCATCTCTACTGCCATTGCTGGAATCTGAGTAAAGACAAAAGCAGTTTGCTTTCTTTAAGGCCACAAAGACTGAAAGCTTGCTTTCATGCATAAGACACAAACTCTACTGGTCTGCTATTTTAATTGGATATCTGTCTGCCTCAGACAACTAGACCGAGTATTGGTGACAACACAGCGATCTATGAGGAAGATCAATTCAGTTCAACTCAATTCAATTCTGTTGTTCTATGTTTACCACACAGCAATGTGGGCAATCTAACACAGGATGAAAGAAGCCAACAGCAAATTGTCACCTGTTTTGGAAGCATTTTCAAATCCAACGCACAGATTTTGCCATCATATTGGAAGAGAAAACATTTGGATCAGTGCATCACTACATGAAACCAGTCTGTTTTCAATACCTTTCTATCAGGCACCTTTTCAAAATCTCTTATTAAAAGTCACCTTTGTATTAATGGAGGCCCTCTTCTTCTGCTGTTTGATTTTGTGTTGCTGCAAAGGCAGAGGACTTGAACCCTGGGCATCTGAGGAGCTTGGGGAAACTTGTTGACCTAGAGAAGGGACTCCGGCCATTTTAGGAAGGGAGGAAGCAGGTGGAGGCACCACATGGGGAGAGGATGTTGTTTGTTGTGGTAAGGAAGATGATGAGGAGACAGAAGAGGAAGGAGGCAGGCCTTTGTCCTGCAGGAAAACATCCAACATGGACGAGGTTGAGGTGGTGGCCTGGTAGGGCTGCCTCTTTGTAAAGGGCGCATGAATTGCAGACTCTGGTTGAGCCTTCATATCTAGACAATAGTGAGGGGACAAAAGTCAGAAAAAATAAACTCAGCAAGTATTTTTTTGGTACTGAAATTAAATTAAAAAAAAAAGAGAGTAAAAAGCTCAATTATAATCATTATGAAATATACCACTTCACACATTACAGCAAGGCATTTAATAACAATAGCATTTAGTGTGCAGATAATTTATCTTCAGAGTAATTTAAAAAAGGCTCTCATCTCACCATATTGTCCCAGTGAGGCAGCACTGGTGTCCCATGATGAAGGGGTTGTGTTGGGGGGTCCAGTCTGGGAATGCTGGGCTGCCAGCTGGGCCAGTGCCTGGGCTGTTTTATACTGCTCCAAAAACTGGGACCCAGTGGTCCCTGTGCTAGCTCCTTTAGGTTCCCCCACTTCCCCAAAACCCTTGCTCAGCATGCTGACCTGCAGTGTTGGTAGAATAACACAGACCATTATTCTAACTGAATAAATACTTGAGCCACAATAATGCAGTTATGCCGCGATATCACTATACTCGCCCGTTTTCTATGTAGTGAGGAAGTGGTGGACTTATCAACGTTAAAAGATGATTTGCATTAGTGAGCTATCTGAGAGGCAAGGCACATTTAACTGCAGTGTTAGGAAAAAACTGCCATGTTTTGTTCTTTAGAGTCTCACCATGTTGTGCTGGGTGTAAGGGGTGCTGGAGGATGTTTGAGAGAGGGGCACTCCTTGCTTGGAGTTGCTGAAAACCAGTGACTGGGACAAAGAGGGGGGCTGGGTGGCCTCCATGGGGGCATTTTCTGTCTCTGAGGAAGATGATGGTGGAGTCTTCCCAAGGAGCACCGCGAGATCAATCCTATAACAAGAAATTAAAAAAAAAAAAACATTCATTATGATACCTATAAAAAGTTTCAATAAAAATAGGTTAATTATTGTAAAGCTGCATTCATTTTCATTGTTTTCTTGATTAATCTTTTTTTGCTATTTAAATTCAACAGAAGTATCAAGTGAGCGATATTAACACTGCTCGTTTTTGTCCAGCTAGCAGAATAAGTAATTAAATATTTGCACATTTTCTTGATAACTAACAGTACAAGCATATGGCCAATAATTCTCTGAACATCAACTCATTCATAAATTAGTTGATCAAGAAATCAATTATAACCTTGTCCACAAAAAACTGAGAAGGTTACAAAACAGTGACTGCTCTGCTCCAGAAAAGCAATTTGCTCAGCAGCAGGTTAATAAATTGTGTAAGTGACCCACCTCTGTCCCTTAGTGATGGTAACATTCTCTTGAGGCGGAGGCACTGACGCTACACTGGAAGCTGTGAATATCTTGGTCTCTGAAAGCTGCAAAGGAAAGGAGAGCAGAAGATGAAGTTTTAGTTCTGTTCAAGTGTGCAGATCAGAATCAGTTCTAATCTACTTTCAGCTACTCCCTTATTCTCAACGGGTCGCCACAGCAGCTCCACAAGTTTGATTTAGTGGGTTGACGCAAGTTCCTCCTGGCAAGGTACTTGCGCCTCCTCCGAGCAAATATGTAAACCACCACACCATGGAGCTGCTATCACCATCATTAATGCTGAACTATAACTTCTTCGAGGACAATGTACTGTTTTTGTTAAAGAAATAATGTGATTGAGGTAAAAATAAAACACTCACATCTTCATTCCAGTCCTCAGTGCCCCACTCCTCTGTGGCAGACCTCCAGGCACCTGTGAGTGAAAGAGAAACAGTTCAATGATATCACGTTGAACAAAGAACTTCAAACAGAATAAGGAATGCAGAAAAAAAAAATCAAGAGGGGAGTGAAGACAGGTTTACCAGGAGCAGAATCAAACTTGGGTGGATAATTTGTTCCCTCTCCTGCAGAGTATTCCAACCCTGGAGACAGAGAGAGAGGTGAGGAGATTAAAGCTAATGTAGAGTTACCAGAGGAAGTGATAATTCTTTAGTCAGAGCATTACAATATGTCTGAAATGTGTGTATGTCTCAACTATCAAGCAAACCATCTTTGTAGTCTTTACAACAAGAGCTTCTTTGGCAAGCTAACCATGTTTTTTAAAATAGTTTGGATGTTAAACAGATGCTGAATTGATAAGATTAACTTCTCTTATTGGAGGGTGACCTTTGTGGATAAATTCACTTACTAGCTCCCTCCTCTAGCTCCACGCTTCCTGTGTTGTTCCAGGTACTGCCCCCTCCGTAGTTTTCTTCTGTCTGAGCTGGCTCCGCATAGTCAGCAGGGTTGAATGTTCTGGGAAACATAGTGATAAGGAGTCAAGAAGTGAATGAATGGACTAATGACTTCCCCAACAACTGAAGGAGTGTCTGCATAAGTCACAGCTACTACCTACTCACCTACTAGAGGTCAGCCCTGTTTGAGCAGAAGCAAACGCTCAATTAAGTTTTAATGAGGTGCACACCACAACTGATTAAGGTGGTTGTCTGCTTGCAGTGGTCTTTTGACATCATTAGGCTTTTTACTTCATAAATCACTTCAGAAACAAAACCAAACTTGCAACAGGAAATGATATGTAAAAGAAATCCTAAAAAAAACTTGGCTAAAGCAGTGAAACTACCATTGTTGTAGTGGGGAAGCATCTAAGTACTGTTTTAGTTTTTCAACGACTCTTTCCTGGCAAAAAAACATCGTTCATTATTTTGACACATCCATGTATGCTGAGGAAATTACAGCTGGTGCAGCCTAGCAACATGATCAAGTGCAACACTTTTCTTTTGAGTGAAGCCAAGCCAAGCAGCTTTCATTATTTGTCAAAGATCCTTCCTGTGCAAATCAAGATGCATTTATAGCTTGGATGAGCATATTAAATGACAAATTTTAAGGGAAGGCCATATCCATTTGATATCCTATTAATAGAATGAGGTGTTTTAATGTCTGCTATTACATTATCCTATTTTATAGCACTCAAAGGCTCCCTAAAGAAAGCAAGAACACCACATACACACACAAGAGGCGATGCACTCACCTCCTACTGCCTGCAATATCATATCTGGGCCCCTTATCATTCTGGCTTTAGAAGAAAAATAATGGTAACAATTACAAGATGAACAACAAAGTAAAAGAAAAAGCTTTTTTTTCCCCCACCACCACCATCGACAGCTACAGCAGCATAAGCAAAATGCCTTTAAGCTGCCTGAGCCAGTACTTTAATAACAACTCTGCTCCAGTCAATCACTCTTCAATGCAAAGCAAGCCAGTGTGCTTTTAGTCATAGTGGGTCAATACACAAGAAACCCAGCTGAACTGAAGTATAGGCTTCATAAATCAGCCGCAAACAAAAAACAGCTGGTAGATGATGGCAGTTAGCAGTTTCATCGACACCTTCAATCACACAACTACATGAGCTCAAAGCTATTGTTGAACACACACGGTGCATCGGTCTGCATAATAACTCCATCCATCTCAAATCACACAGTCTCTTGTTTAGTCTCACTCTCATTTACCTAATAAGTTGAGAATGTCACATACACACTCCATGATAACTCTGTACAGCGCCAATTTAACTGTCTCGATTCTGACAAACACCCCACCAAAGCAAACCTACGCTTTTACTAGAGTTTTTACAGCTGTAAAGATATATCAGCCTGTTTCATTGGGTTTCTATATATGCCAACATAAAATGATCCCATATGTGTAAAACAGAGTGGATTTCAATCTCTTCCCTCAGTTTCTTTTCTGCAGACAAAGAAAGAAATTAGTTGAATGCAACACCAGAGAAGAAAAAAAAAGTCAGTTGTAATGTGGGACTTTAACTGTGTTCTCAGATCCAAGGTGCAAAATTACTTTCTGCCCTTTTAACCTGGAAAAACTTTGTCTAAATAGGCACTAATCAATAGATTATTTAAAAAAAATGGGGTTATGGAAACAAAAATGGGTGGGTGGAGGGTGGTGTGACATGATTTCTGTCCAGAAAAGACAGAAAAAAAACCCAAAGATTACAATTTGCATTTCTTAACGAATGGATACGTGTTCAATTCAGTCATTTTAACACACCTTGAACCAGGCTACATTAGTGATAAATCCAGTCTTCATGTTACCAAAATCTGGGTTGCCGGTTTTAATGTGGCCTCATTAAAGAGACTGAAAGCACTATTACTTCACAGAGAGACTCACATATGCAGATAATAACCAAGTCATCTACCAACTTCCCTTGAATCATCTAAACCGTCACATCAACTCTGAAACAAATCTATCTGATCAGCTTATTCATTGGTAATTAAGTGTGGTACTCATTTCCCCTTTAAACCCAGAGTATTAATTTTTGGGTTTAGTGCAATTTAAATGAAATCTGAAAGCAAAATGTGAGGTGAATAGCATAAGTTGCCTATTTAAAGCATAAAATATCAGTGACGCACATCTACAGGCAGGTCTGAAAATCACCATCTTATCACACAGCAACAAGTACTTTATCTGCTTTAAGGCAGTTTCCTTTAAAGCCATGCACGCTTCTCTCAACAAACACTGGTGCAAAGCTGGTAAAGAGTCTGCCAGCATCCAGAAGCAAAAGCAATAACAGAACTATTGTGTGCTGACGGTGAGGACGGTTTAGGTAACACAAAAACGTCTCAGCCAGCACTGTACAACATTAGCCCCAAATCTGTATGAAAAGCGTATTATAGTGTTTGAGTATGCAAGTCAATATCTAGGTCAACACTCAAAACAAACACAGCCAAGACTGGAACACTTCCACAGGCTCAGAGAGCACAGACCATAAAGATCCTACTGCAGGTTATCGTTTGCACCATCATAGAGCAATTATTTTACATTCTAATCATTCCCATAGGTTATAACCATGTGCAAGTATGCTTTTTGTTGTATTGATACAGCAGCTTCAAAACACACTTTGTTTTTGTAAGAACATCAGATTCAGGCTTCTCCAGCAAGAAAGCCATTCAGTTAGGACGCACACACATATACACCCAGAGTCGCATCACACCTGACTGCTCACAACCTAATCTAGGAAATGTCTTATGACAGCACAAGTCTTACTCATACACTGCCCAATTAATGACAATCACATGAGTCGAGAAAGCCATCACAGTCAGCACAAAAAGCACTTCCTCTGTTTTGACACCTAACTGTTCAACTGACATGCGTATTAACTGCACCCTTTTGCGCTCAGAGAGACTAAAGAACACAAGCAAAACAAACTGAATAATCCTGCAGCCTGGGGCCAGAGAGCTTAATATAACTGTAAAGCTAAACCAGTTCGGTCCCTGACAGTCTTCTTCATAAATCAATCCAAATATTACTCTAAATAAAATCTTTAGAGACTGCAAACTCTGAAGAGAGATATTCAGCCCACGCTGTTCCATCCCATTGGCTGATGTATGTCCTCCCTCCTTTGGATTAATGCTAAACAATAGGCTGGGGTCCTGCTCTCTGGTGACCATAGCAACAGGTAAAAGTGGAACAAAAGGCCTTCTCGATTTAGGCAATGCAGGTATTCCCTTACCCCATGCCCTGTGCCGAAAATCTGCCTCCTCGCCGTCCAGATGCTCCTGGGGACAGAACGAGACTTTGTGTCAGTTTCTCAGTTCGACAAATCTTGCCATAAGAAAGGAAGCCAGCAGATTATGTATTCATAAAAAAAAAAAAAACACAACCCAAAAACCCCAGCTACCCCTTGTTTTGATTAGACACACATCCTTCAAAGAACAGTAAAGAGGATTACTTACCAACTGCTCCCCTTCCTCTGCCTCTTCCCCTTCGGCCTCGCTCTGCACCTCTTCCAGCTACTCCAGTCTTGCCTCCATCTAAGCCATTCTCTTGGCCACGAACTTGAGTAATGAAGAGAGAGCGAATGGCTTCAGATTTAGACACAATAGCGCGTGCAAAAACAGCAGACAATTAAATAAAACTTAATGTTTGAGAACCTTAACAGCACCTCAGATAAAATCAAAAGGACAGACAAATGCGCTGGCTCTCCTTTCCTATGACGATGTATGCAGTTTAAAAAAAGGCTTTCTTGCACTTTTATTTTTACAGTAATTCTGGTGCACCTGTGCAACCTTTCTGTACCCAAATTCATCTAAATGACGAAATAAGCCAGCAAGCAACTGTTCATGCAAACCATACATTTCTTTTCTCAATGAACCCCTTCAGGCAACAAAAGCAAAAAGCCTTTTTACAAAATGACTCGATAAACTTGAGTCTGACAGAGCGCAGGCATGACTCAAATTAACAGCATTCCTTGACTTGTGAAACATGATGAAATTCAAAGAAAAAAATATTTCAGGCTGTACATTTACAGCATGCAATTTGATAAAATAACCACCTTGTTAGTGATCATTTGTTCAATGATTTCTTTTCAGAGTTGAAGGCAAATTTTTTTTTTTTAATATTCCGCAGCAGCCAAGCTGATCGCTTCATCTAAACCTAAATCAAACTAAAGCCAAAACTAAAAATGTAAAGACTAACAAAAATAAACAAGAACTGAAGACAGATACAATAAAGGCCTGGCAAAAGATCACAATGAAGGTCCACACTCTGGTAATCTCAACTGGCTCCACACTTCAAGCAGATCTCGACTTCAACAGAGCCTTAAATAACTAGAAAAATATAATGGTATTTGTTCAATTAAATCTGAGCCTCTGTAAATACAGGACTCTGTATAAAAATGACAAATTTCTTAATATTTTTGTTCAATCCCTTCACACTTGAATCCAAGGTCAAAAAAAATCTACTATGTTGGCAGACACACCCATTTATAAAAACTGAGTCACTGACTAAAGTTTCCAGATCAAACTGTAGAAGAAGGCAAATCAATGTAAGGATGAGTTAAAGACTTACACTCTCGTCCCCTGCTAGCGCCACGTCCCTTGCGTGGAGCTCCACCTCTGCGACGTGCTGCATCCTTCTCGCCTCCTTTCTCTCTGTTCTCTTTTCCTTCGTCTCCAGTTTCTGCCTGGCTGGTCTCCTTCTGACCTGACACCCCTTTCTTCTTTCCCACCATTTCCCAGGAGTCCTTAAGAAATATATAAATATAGCATTACAATGATGCTCGTCTAAATCAGAATACTACAGAACTTATTTTCTTGGCACATTTTACTAAGATGGGAAACACACACTGAAATGGATGAAAGGTTAGTTGATAAGGTGATGATCTGAATTTTTTTTTTTTCCACTGTTAGAGACCCTCGGCCAAAACAGGAAACGAAGTGACCATTACGGCCTTTTCATAGTTTTCTGACGAATATCTCTTCCTTTTCCATCGGTTGCAGCAATATCGCTCTGTGCCATCTGGAAAATGTGATGCTACCACACTTATGCATCATACCAATGACCTGTAAAAACGGACCTGTTTGCAGATGTGTGCCATGCCGCTATACACAGAGATTAACAACAGGGAGCATAAACTGCCACTGAGCTTATGTATGTCTGAATCTGATTGGGATCGCATTTCACATACAGTGCATTAAGAAGCTGTTTGGTGGAAGCTGTGGAAGCTAGTTGAAAATCACAATTGGAAATGTTGTTCATTTTATTTATTCCCTACCAAGCCGTATAAATCCAACTCCTTTTAAAGTCTTTACTCCAATGAACCAGTATTTGACAATCCAAAGGGCATAGCATCTCTTGATCAGCTGTGATTAATGTGTAACGGCAAGATACTGTTCAAAGTCTTACTCTGGTTTCAATTTCTCACCATGTTCTTCAAGTCAGATTATTATCCAAGCTTTTAAGTTATTTTTTGATAACTTACAGATATACATTACACAAATTTAAGTAGCCAAATAAAGATAAGATATGTTATCTGTGCCATCCGTTTGTCTGTCTGTTAGCGACACTGCAACAAACGTACCAAGCAGAATTTCCTAAAACATCGCAGAAAGAAGAACCCATTAATTTTTTTGGAAACAAAGAGGAAGCTAATGCCCTGTGAATGCAGTCTCCACTTCAGGAGATGACTGCCCTCCCTCAAGTCCCCTTCTGGTTTTCAACAGGTCAGTGACAACATACTTAGGGGATGCAAAAGTGTCACATTGTCAAAGAAAACATAGAAAATGTACACAGCTGCAGTGCCCACTTTCAACAGGAAAATGAATGCACAGTCGCCCAGTGGAAGACAATCCGCTTCCAAACAATAACAGCCTGACTCAGACTGACTGCAATAACTCTCAGACAGATTGGCAAAGGTTTGAAAATACTTGCTAACTAATTTATGAATGTAGAAAGATTGCCAAAACTTTGCAATCAATCAGCACTGACAAGTGCTGTGCATCTGCAATGAGTCTCTTTGCAACAGGGGACTTGATTCAACTGGTTGCCAACTTGTTGTATTCTGGTTATGTTCCTATACAAACGCAAGGTTCCCATGCACCTATTAAACTGCCGTCCTGCAGCAACTCCATCACTATTTGTGGAGGAATTTCTGAATGTGTGTTTCAGACCTATGAGGTTCTGGCTTGAGTCATTTAAAAGTAAATGTGAACTTCTTTGTATCCTGACAGCAAAAGACGACAGCAGATTTACGATTTTTAATGATTTATCTGTTTAGTGCTGTATAGCTGTACACAACATCGCTGTACGCATTCAATTGAAAACTGATAGACTGGCGCCATCTTATCGCCCTGCTCATGCATCACAGTCACTTTGAACATGGCATCTGACTGTTTGTGGTACCCATCTTCAAAGCAAAAATTTCAAAGGCTGCATGTTCATTGAACCTGGTCACAATCATTTTTGTTGTGCTGCTGTCTCCAACCACTGTTTTCTCTAATGTGATTGTAACATCCAGTGTGGCACTGATTTCACAAGAATCCGGCGCTCACAGCACAAGCCTTCACACAAAGCCAATACTCACAGTGTCTGGGCTGCCCTCCAGCAACACGTTGATGGCTCTGTTGACATCCCCGTTGCAATCATGCAGTGCGATCATAGACTCATCCTGATCCTTGCCTGTGATGTCAATCAGCTGGAAAAGGAGGGTTTTCACAATCAGACAGAGTTGACCCATGACATATCTGACGTGTCATTTGTTAAAAAGTAAACTACTTTAATTACACTTAGAATAAAAATCAAATTTTATCAAAAGGTCAGTATAGAGGGTTAACTACATGCTTGCTGAGATTCAGCAGTTGAGCAGACATTCAGCACCTTTGTAACAAGACCATAGGTAACCAACAGATTGTATATAAAGTTAATTTTCTATGAATAATCTGACTACATCCACTTGTTTTAGTTCCTAAATAAAGACACTGATCTTTGAGAGGTAAACTCTCTTATCAGAAGGTGACAATGACTTGTTTATTGAGTTTTCTGAACTTAGATGACAATGAGTGTGTGCCAAAATTAATGATTTGATCATTAAAGCTGAGAGGCCTGATATCATTTATGGTTAAATCCTGTATATGTTCACTTAAAAAAAATCCTAACACAAGAGACATACATGTCTAATGCCAAGCACAATAAATGATACAATATAACACGTGTCAATAAATGAAGTGGTGCAACTACAAAAGGAGCAGGAACACCTAAACAGCAGGACAAAAAGAAAGTGCATCTGCTCACCTGTTTGACCTTTTCTTCAAAGTCATCATTGTGATCTGAAATCATCTGTGCAAGTCGGATCTGCTCTGCAGTAGCCTGTTCCAAGAGGGTGAAAAAGATCCAAGATTTGCATCAGCAAACACAGGATTTGCATTCTTGAAAAAAACATAACATTTAGATGTTAATAGAATCTGTAGCACTAAAGTTATTATTAAAATTTGAAAGCACCTTTGCATCCACTTCAGGTTTACTAATTGCAACTAATTTACCATTTTCAACAACAACTACAGTGCTTAAAAATGCTAACACTTGTAAATAACCTTTTTCACACAACTACTATACCACAAACCGTAACCACCGTCTTTTTACGGTTATCATCAAACCTGTATATTAGTTGGTCAGACTGTGTTCCATATTGGGTTTTCAGACTGAAGCCGTGATCCCAAAAGCTCACAATCAGAGATTTTGTTCTCGACTTGTAATTACTCAGCAGCATCAAAAATCTTGAAACTTATCCAAAGCTTTTATAGTGAGGATGGCATCATCTGCAAAAGCCCTTTACTCAGTAAATAAAGACTGAGTTTTGACTGAATTTCTAAAGTTATACTTATCTCATATCTAACTGTAACAAGTATGTAACTTTGTAGCTAAAAACTTGTATGTAATTACGAGTTGAAAAAAGAAAAGAAAAAACCCCTTGTCTGAGTATATTCAACCTTGGTGCATATCACAGAGCATCTGGGCAGTGTGACAGGTGGTGAGTGTGTGAGGGTACCTGAGGCCTCTGCTTGTGCTGTGTCTGGCTCTGTGTCTGGCCCTGTGTCTGCTCCCAGTTGCCCCGGGCTCGGTTCCCGCCCATGGACGTCATCATTTACAGTATATACAAATAACAGTATTTACAAAGGAATAACACCTGAGGAGAGAAGGGTGAGAAGGAGTGTTAGAAGGGCTTGTGACTGTGACCTACTTATGTCGCGCAAACGTATGGTACGATACCACTTCCTCAAACTGCCTGGTTGCTTAATGGTTTGCTGTAAGCTGGCAGTGATATCACCTTTGTTCCCAGACCATGTCTTAAACCAAGGCCACCCGAGGGAGGACAAAAAAGGAGAAGAGCTCCTTAGTAAACTGGGTGCAGCTGCACACAAGGAAAACGAGCACTAACTTATTTACCACTCAAACATGATGCAACACTTTATGCATCAAAACAGCCTCAATGCTGAGGTAAATCTAGATTTCCAAACAACCGAATGTCTTTAAAAAAACAACAACAACAAAAAAAACAGACATATATACACACTTTGGAGAACACCAAATGGGGAAAGACAACATACAATCTCACACAGTATACTGTTAACCTTGCTATCGATTCCTTAATCTTGCACATGTTACGTAAAACCCTGTTTTGATTCGCGCACAAACAAGCCTAAAACCAGGGCCCGTCGACCATATCCAAATCTACTATCCAGCCACATGGCCAAAATGCTAGCCAGCAAGCTAATAGTTGAGGGGAAAGCATCCAGCTTTCAAGTCTCGGTGGGCTTCCGCTTCTCACGGCTTCACCTCATGGCGACAACGAGGCTAACTTTAACGGCTAACCTGCTAACTAAACAGTGATACCTACCTACACAAAGCTGCGTCGCTAGCTAACTTAGCTTAATAGCAAACAAGTTAATTAGCTCGCCAACAACTAACGGGCAACGGAGATTTCGGGTTCGACCGGGTGAACCAAAGAGGAAAAAAATACGCCCATGCCACTCCGGTGCCACCGGTTGTCTGCTAGCGACTGATAGCCACGCTAACTAAACAAACTAACGTCCTCTTGGTTAGCCAAGAAACATTAGCCACGTTAGCGAATTAGCAGCCGCGACACCGCTCTGCAACATTTACAACCAGTGGCCCCGGTGTACTCTCACGGACCGGGCTGAAGGCGTAAAAAACCGCCGAGGCTGAGGGTAGGCCTATAGGCCGCTAAAATGAAAATAAATAACAGGCAATACTGACCAGAAACCCGGCTCAGTATTACACACTGCTACACAACCGGCCGACAAGTAATCTCGCTGTCGACCTCCGGAGTAGGATTTAGGACAGGATTTAAATCCTGAACCCCGAGTGTTATAAGCTATATTGGGAAAATAAAGCGAGCCGACTCGCTCACACAATAAGCGAGAGACGGTGAATTTACCTGTTTCTTTTCCACTCTGACACCACGGAGAGCTGCGTCACGTGGTTTGCAGAGCGCTTCGAGGAAACTGGACCCACACCACGTGATCAGCAATATACAGTCAGCGGAGAGACGTGACATGTCAGAGCTGGAGAAGTAATAATAATAATAATAATAATATATTCAACTGATGTGTAAATGAACAAGTAATAGTCGATATTTATGCACAAGTATACTCATAATAACACCCTCATATGTAGTATATGCATGCATAAATGCTGTGATAATGTGTGAGCACCAGTTCTCCAGGCATTCTGATGTCTTTCAAAGTTTTCCTTTGACTTTGGCTGCTTTTTCACTCCTTTCTAGTCCAGCCCTCGTCAACATACAACACACAACAAAGAACCAATTGTGAATTGCATCTTTAGACACTTTGTTTCCAGCAGCCTGTGTCAAACACATGCCTTGTTCCCATTTGTTTAGCTGAATCTATTCAAAAATTGACAGACATAAAATACTATTTTTGTGATTCCCAAAGTGCTTCTAACAGAAAACTTGGCATATGTATCTCAGCATGATGTGCTTGTGCTATAAACATCTTTAAGGAAACTGGATATGAGAAGGATAGAAGCAGTGAAGCAGTGAAAGACCTAAAAAAAATATCTTCAGCAGATGAGCAATATCTAAAAGCCACGTCCTTAAGGAAAAATCCACACACAGGACCTGAGAGATGTATCTGCTCCTTCAGATGATCCATCTACTGTTCATGAAGCCTCAGAAATGGTGATTGTCAACAAGTCACTCTTAATGAAGGAAAGGAGAGAGCAAAGTTTGAGATATGCTAAATTACACAAGAACTGGACTGAAAGTCAGGGGCACCAGGTCTGGTGGAGTGATAAATACAAATTTGAAATATTTGGTTCAGACT